GATCTAGAGTAAGAAGAAAGAGTGACAGTCTCAAATGCCCTGTAGCCTCCTGCTTATAAGTGTGGTGCACGACACACTCATAAACAAGACTCTACTAGACATGGCTTGTAAACTCCCTAGGACAGAACTGCTCTGATACCACTTTTGTCAAGCTCCGAACCTAGGGGGCGAGACCGGCACCTAGTGCCTCACCTATCTTTGCGTACCAACTTGCAACTAAGGGACTTTGAACATATGATTTCATACTTTGGCCATGGGCCACATTGCAATACAACTGCGAATACTGACTAAATGCCAATATAAAACTGGGCCAACAAGGCCGTCATAATTGTTAAAGCTGACAAATCAACCAAATATACATACAAGGCCTGCAAGCCCAACATATTGCACTAACTGACAGGATATGTCTACAAGCATCTACTGATGGATATACTGTGATCGGAGCAANTATATATATAAATGCTCTACTGTAGTAGGCTCGCTCATAGGTGCTCGGTCATACTAGGCTCTGTATCTCGACCAACTAGGCTCGCACATAGGCACTCGGCCACAGTAGGCTCGGTATATAACTTACCATATAATCAGAGGTTGCCTAATAGGGGCCTTCCCATCGATTATAGCTCGATGGTAATGAAAATACTTTAATAATGTATATATAAACTTTCTGCTTTTTTGGCCGCAAGAAGGAAATACTCAATTGAATATAATGTCCCGATAAAGAGAATATTGTAACTTACAAGACTAGAAAAATATACGTAAATTTCGGGATATGAATTTTTCTTTATGCCTCGTTATCAAACTTGTGTAATACGAGATAATGCAAAATAAAGGAAGAGCTTAGCCTTAACATACCTGGAGTAGGAAAAAATCCGTATGATGTTCTTGGAAAAGGTTGCACCGTACTCCTTTAGAATCGCAAAATCTTACGTTGCTAATGTGTAAATAATTTTTGTTGGAATTATTGAAACTTGTAGGAATTTGCAATCATTTCACGTTTCTAAATGGAAAAGCTCATGTCTTCTGTTGTAGTACTTCTTTGTAGGATTTTGTAAGCATTTCATGTTTCTAAATGGCAAAGCTCATGTCTTCTATTGTAGTATTTCTTTGTAGGATTTTGTAAGAATTTCATGTTTCCAAATGGAAAAGCTCTCATCTGAATTGTTGTCTTAGTATTTTAGATTCTAGAAATGAGTTGTCTTGAGATTAATACACTATGTTGCCACCTAATCCAAATTGATCAAGAGTCATTTGGTGGGTTAATGTCTTGCTTCCATGTGGAGGGTGGGGGAGGGGTTTTAGTCTTATCCCATAACCAATTAATTAATTAGGTTCTGTTACCCGGTAATTAACCAATTACCCACATAATTAAGAATTATCTCAAATTACTTAAAATTCTACTTATTTTTAATACCCTTTTATATATCATACTATCATGGTCATATGGTACCTTGTATGGTACTAGTCCATAAATAGCGGGTATTAACGCTCGGCCCGAATTTTATCCCAACATGCCGAACTTGGACGAAAATTCATTTTCTTTGACTTGCTTCCCCTCTCACCTTCACGAATTTACTCATCACTTGTGAAATAGCATAATCCTTATAATCTCCAAATAATCTTTTCCTTGGACTGATGTCAATTACTTTATGACAAATTCAACGTACAATACTACAGGGTGCAACATCGTAGTAATTTAATATTATAAAGTGTAACATCATAATAATGTATTACTCTTAGGCGTAACATCATCGTAATATTGCGGGGCGTAACAAGTAGTACATATATGTAACGACCTAGCTTGTCGTTTCATGAGTTACCGCTCTGTTTCCCCTATTTCTACTTCTTATTGTTTTGTTCAGCTGTATTATATGTTATCGGGTTGATTGGTTCGGATTTGGAGAGGTTTTGGTAAGGTTTGAGACACTTAGTCTCTTTTGAGTAAGCTTAAGTTGGAAAAGTCTATCGGATGTTGACTTATGTAAATAAGGGCTCGGATGTGAATTTGCATGGTTTGGATAGCTTCTCGGGATGATTTGGGACTTAGGAGCATGATCTCAATGTGTCTTGGAGTTCCGGAGAAGATTTAGGCTTGAATTGGCGAAATTGGAATTTTGGCGTTTTCCGGTTAATAGGTGAGATTTTGATATAGGGGTCGGAATAGAATTCCGGGAGTTGCAGTTGGTCCGTTGTATCATTTTGGATGTGTGTGCAAAATTTCATGTCATTCGGACGTGGTTTAATAGACTTTTTGATCGAAAGTAGAATTTGGAAGTTTTTAGAATTCTTAGGCTTGAATCCGATGCAAATTTGGAGTCTTGATGTTGTTTTGAGCGTTCGGAAGGTTGGAACAAGTTTGAATGATGTTATGGGATATGTTGGCATGTTTGGTTAAGGTCCCGAGGGCCTCGGGTAAGTTTTGGGTGGTTAGACGGACCATTTCAAGTTGGATAAAATTGCAGAAAATTTGTTGTTGATGTTGTAGGCAGTTGTTCTTTGCGCTCGCGAGTGGACCCTCGTGTTCGCGAAGGGTTAGAATGGGAGGCTGTGAAGTTGGCCTTCGCATTCGCGAAGGAGATCCCGCGATCGCAAAGGGTTGAGCTCATTGGTCATCGCGTTCGCGATGGGGATATCGCGTTCGCGAAGGTTCGAGTGGCTGAGGCATCGCGTTCGCGAGGGGTGGTCGCATTCGCGTAAGAGAAATTTTGTTCAATGGTATTTTTTGATTCGTGAACGCAAGTCTTTGACCGCGTTCATGAAGAAGGATTTCAAATCGCTGGGCAGAATGTTTAAAAGGCCATTTTCGCGATTTTTGTCCTAAGTTCGCCATTTTTTACTCAGTTTTGGAGCTTTTTGAGAGAGATTGAAGAGGGAATCAATGAGAACTTATTGGAGGTAAGAATTTTGGACTTAATACTCGATCCTATTGTGATTTCTACCTAATTAAACATGAAATTTGGGGGATTTGAAGCCTAAATAGGGGAGTTAGGGCTTGGAAACTTGAGACCTTAATAAATAGACCTTAAGCCTTAGTCTATTGATGTTTTTATCGGATTCCGAAACGTGGGCTCAGGGTTCGGGTTTGGCAAATTTCAGGATTTTTGGTATAATTTGATTATTTTCGCATGGGCTTCGTTCCCTTATCATATTCTAATGTTATGATTCTGATTTTGGGTAGATTCGATGCGAGTTGAGGCCGAGGCGAGAGGCAAAGGCGTCGTGGAGTAGTATTTCATCCGGTTTGAGGTAAGTAACCATTGTAAATCTGGAACTGAGGGTACAAAACCCCGGTATTTCGTATTGTTTTGTTAAATGAGGTGACGCACATGCTAGGTGACGAGCGTGTGGGCGTGCACCAGTAGGGATTGTGACTTGGTCCGTCTCGTAGCGACTATTAAGCCGCGCATTTGATTTTAAATCTTACGATATCACTTATTTTAGATATTGATACTATATTATTGGATATATGCCATGTTTGGGGTCTTGTGCCAACCTGTTGAGACCCTTAGGCGCATTTTTACTGTTTTCCTCACTCTATTTGTTTGAAAGCATATCCTCAGTCATGTTTTACCTGTTTACTGTTTAAACCTGGTTTTTATCACTCTATTTTCTTAAAATGTGAAATCTATTTGAACTGAGTTTCCCTAATTTCCACTGCTATGCCCGAGTGGCTGTGAGGTTAATGACTGAGAGAGGTTGAGGACCTAATGGTGAAGATTATAAATATTATGGATTGGGCTGCACGCCGCAGCGATATATATTGGATCGGGTTGCATGCCGCAGCGATATGACGCTTGGGCTGTAGGAGCCCCTCCGGAGTCTGTACACCCCCAGTGAGCGTAGTCGACTATAAACTATGGATCGGGCTGCACGCCGCAGCGGTTATTATTATTATTATTAGTAGTAGATATTATTGAGCCTGAGTGTTGAGTGTGAGTTCTGAGTGACGAAAGCTGAGTCACAAGTGACTGAGAGGCTTGCTCGAAAGGCTATATTTATGAGTGATACCTTGCCCGAGGGGCCCATTTATGATATCTTTGCTTATTTCACTCTTATTTTATAATGAGCCTCTGTTGAAAGCTGCTAAGTAAATGATTTCAAGGTATTTCAATTGAAACTGAAGTTTTTACGAAGTATTACGAAGTAACTGACTTTTAAACTATTGAGTTTGATTTGATACTCTGTTGTGTACTCTTATATATGATTTTTAACTGTTCGTCACTGCACTCAGATCTTATTTACTTTAGTTACTTACTGAGTTGGCGTACTCACGTTACTGCTTGCAATTGTGTATAGATCTAGGTGCCCGAGAGGCAGAGTGAGGGTCCCCAACATTTTTAGAGCTTACTGGAGACTGCAAGGTAGCTGCATGGCATTCGTAGCTCTGCTTTCCTCCTTCCTATCCTTGTTTTTCCGCATTTTTAGGCTTATTAATTATGTAATAGACAGTCGGACTAGTTGTATGTAGAGGCTCTAGACTCGTGACACCAGATTGTTGGGCTGTGTTGGTTGGATGTTTTACTGTTTTCCGCACATTTTAGTGATTTAAATGTTTCTTATGAAAAATTGAGACTTAATTAATGTTAGAAAAATGTTTTTATTAAAAGAGATTTACTGTGGATATTTGATTGGGTTGGCTTGCCTAGTATTGTGATAGGCGCCATCACAACTGAGTAATTGAGGTCGTGAAGTAATTATCACCAAGAAAAGTAAAAATAAAGTAATTATTTAAGTAAGCTTAGGGTTGACCAAAAAAAAAAATAGTTGTTAGGAGAGAATTCCGTTACATTAACGATTTAATTTCTTGTTTTTTTTCCTTTTTCCTTACTCCCGTACTTTGAAAAAAGTGAAGGGAATCGAAATAAGAAGGTCAAACCAAATAATCTTTGTTTCCATTCAAACATCAATTTCTTAATATTTTTGAATTAAAACTTAAATTATTAGAATTAAATAAAAGTACTATAAATTATAATTTATTTAATCAGTGGACACTTGAGCAGCAGCTTTATTCAATCAAATATGGGGCAACATATTGCTGCATTTCTTGAATATCCATTCCAAGGTGAATTCCTGGTAACTTTATGAACTTCACTTTTCCAGCTTTAACCAATGTTTGTAATCCAAACGTATCCTCTAAATAAAGATTAGTCTGCCAAAAAAAAAATATATTGTTACTCCTAATATATAACATGGTTAAAAAGTTCAAATAGGAAAATAATATTACCTGTTGCGGTGGCAAAATTTGAGAGTAGGTTCCATCTTGATAAAAGCCAAACCAAGAACTTTCTTTTGGGTTTATCACACTATCATTTTCAAACTGTAAAGATATATATTCAAAATAAAAAGGGGATTAATTAGTAAAAAAAATACATTATTGAATTGATAAATATATATAGGTGGAGATAAAATAAATGTACCATGATAAGTACAAGGTTCTTCAAGCTGGTGAAACGCTGCTTATAAATGGGATTAGTTGCATTAGGAATTTCATTATTAAGCTTTGGTAAATACCTACAACCTTTCAAATATCCAGCAATATCCTGAAAAAAAGAAAAAGAATGTTAAATTATAATCTTTTTCCAATTTAAGAATTAATATTTACGAATATATATAACCAAAGAAATAAGCAAGAATTAATTACTCACTTTTGGAAGCTTGGTATAGCCACTAGGAGCATAATGAGCCTAAGATTTGGAGATAAAAAATTCGATAATCACTTAAAAAAATTTGAAAGGAAAGTAAAAGAATATAAAATTAAGAGATTTTAAAGAGAGTATACTTGAGCATAATCGGAGTATATTCTAACACCACCAGCTTCGGCACACCAAGGGCCACCCTATTAATTAAATGCAAATAAACTCTATTATTATTATTTTTTTTATTATCATTATTGTTGTTATGATATTACTACGACTTGGATGGATATAGAATTACATACAGTGCAGACAGCAACACCAGCATTAGGTCCACCTATTGAGATAAAATTCTTGACCTGTGGCACAATTAAGTTCCAAAAAAAAAAAAAAAAAAAAAAAAATGCAAAAACGATTAAACGTAAATAATGAACATAAAGAGAAAAACTATTGTTAAACTATAATTGTGATAAAATTCTTACTGGAGGTGCTCCATCACAGAACTCTATAAGCCCTCTAGCTACCATATTTCCCTGAAAAAACACATTTTCCATAATAAAATATTGATCGCCGCACAATTACTTTCCTCTGTCTCAAATTATCTGTCATGATTTTTAAAAATAATTGTCTCAAATTATTTGTCATTTTAGAAACTCAAGACAAAACTAATTATATTTTTTCTATTTTACCTTTAATAGTAATTGTTCTAGAAGATGGAGACATCACATAAATAGAGATTATATCTTAAGACAAAAATAATGATAAAATAGTCCAATATCCCTTTTAATTAATAATTTTTAAAGGAGCGTATAAAAGAAAAACACGATAAATAATTTGAGACTAAGGGAGTAATTAATAAGACAAAAAGGAAAAAGTAAGGGAGACACATTTATGATTAAAGATGAATATTTGCCTGTGAGAGACCAACTAAGTTGTAACCTTGTTGAAGTTCATTCATTCCCTTCACCTATAATTTAATTTCAGACATTGTCAATAGGTTTTCAATTTTTTTTTTATTTTATTCTAAAAAGGATAGATGAAAAGAGAAACAAAAAGAATAATTTAGTGATGTCTCATTACCTTTTCACAAGCAATTTGAACCTACAAAGGCAAAAAGAAAGGCACGGATTACAATTCATGAAAAGCACAAGAATTTTATGCAATTAATTCTATCGAAATAATGAGAAATTAAACAATAAGAATCACTACTTTATGTCAACTGTTACCTGATTGTCTAGAGGCATGCTAGTAGAATCAAACGCTCCATTCCCAATTTCTCTACCCAAAAAAAATCCAGATATTAATAATCAATAACAATAATAGACTTTAACTTTACTACGTTGGTGTAAATCAGAGGCGGATATAGCATAGAGTCTCTGGTTTCATATGAACACATAACTTCGATACAGAGTATATATTAACTTATGAAAAGACCAAAAAGTTTAACCTGTTACGTATACAACATTATTAGGGGTAATTTGGATTAAAAAAATGGGTACCTTGCTAACTTGCTACCTTCATGTAGTATGTTAGCAAGATTCATTCATATATATACACAAATACACCTATTAAAATTTTAATAAATGTTAGATCTTGTTGTTATTATGCCTGTATTTGTAAATAATGATTCTGGAAATTAGAACGTTAGCTTATAAATGTAAATATAAGTAAAACAGAAATTAATTCGAGCCCACTGAATTCACAGTGTTTCCTTAAGGAATTTAATCCCCTCCTAGTACCCAAGGTTATGGATTATTTCCTCCCAGGATAGAACGAATTACACACTGGTGTAGCGGTACTTCAAACCCCAGTGTTTCAGCGAATACAAAGTTCGGCAGCAAATCACACATACGGATGCTTTGTTTGTAGTTTAAAACAATGCAGAACAAGGGAGGAAAACTCAGAAGTTGAATGGAAATTCTGAGAGGAAGGAATGCAAATTATAGCCAACGTTGAGTTTTCGGTGAAGAGAAGATCAATAGCTCTCAATTCTGTTTTGGTGTGTGATTCTCCAACTGCTGCTGCTCATATTTATAGCAGTCAGTTGTGAGACCCGCCCCCTCTCCATGGTGGAGCATGCACTAGCTTGTTATGGAGCAAGCACTTAGCCATGGTGGGAGGAGCACTAGGCGGCTGCTATTGCAACTGGTGGTACAATACACGGATTGGAACATATCCGTTACAAACACGAATAATATTACGTTAATATTTACTATTAATAAATAAATTTGGTCCGAAGCCGTAGCCGAGCCGAGCGAGCGACGACGACGGCGCGAGGCTTGCCTTCTTCCTAACTCTTTAAGAGCTACATGAAGTGCATTTGTATATAAACCTACCAAACTCCTTTTCCTCTACCAATGAGGGACAATATCTCAGTAAAAAGAGAGGGAAACTTAAAATTTTACTCAAAATTTTCATTTCCCTCCATTTCTCATTCACCCTCTTTTTAATACCTTTCTATATTAAAAAGAAACTCAACAAATCTGAATCCATAATTTTAACAGTATGATGAGTTCAATACAAGTTTAAATCCATTATTATGGATCCGCCTCTGGATGTAATAGGTAAAAAGTTACACTATTATGGTGTAAAAATTCAACTCGACTTGTATTTCTCATCTTCAACCGTAGTCGAAAATGTCAGTAATATAATAACCATAATAATTTGATTTTGTGTCGCTTTGCAAACTTGTTTTTAGTTTTATGACCCTATCTTTTTTTTTTACGTATGGGAGATTTACTTTTGCACGTAAGAGATCTATCTTTTACACATAAGAGTACTAAAAAGATTATATTCTTAATTTTAAAATTGTAAAGAGGCATGATGTACAAGCAGTATCCGTTAGATCTCGACAAGAGGCTGAGTTGTGACGTATAAAATGTAGTTCCTGCATCGTTGCACGACTGTCCAATCCCTGCCATGGAAAATTACCTCATAATTAATTTCCATTTCCATAGGAAAATAAATTACTTAAATGAAATGCTAATACACACACAGTATGTATATAAAAAAAATTACCATGCAATAATATGAAAGGAGTAGAAAACGAAAGACATATGGAACTGAAGATAGAGATTATAAAGAGAATGAAAGTTTCTGAAGATAAATAAGCCATCGATTTAATTAGCTTCTTCTCTTTAGTTTTTTTTCTTTTTATAAGATGCTTTCTCTTCGTTTTATAGATTTTGTAAAGAAGAAATGGAGGGGATTTACAGAACTCTCAGCTTTAGTAAGTTGGATATATAACCAATCAGTCAGGGGACAAATTTTAAATCATTTCCTTTATTCGTCCTCTTTCTAAATAGTTTTCCACTTTTGTTGGATGACTTTGATTTGGCTATTCTGGATATCAAATCAGTGCTTTGATTTTTTTGCCTTATTTATACGGTCAAAATCAAGGAGCCCAATTTCGAAATCTTAAGTTGGACTATGAGTCCGAGTCCGGGCGACTCGAAGTAAAGGTCAGACCCGGTTGGAGGACACACACCTCTAGGAAGCAGATCGAAGGCCTGACACGACCTACATCGAGAGCAGTACATTCTAGAGGGTTCTCAAAAAAGAGCGAGAATTTTTCAAGGACGCGTGGATTAGGGCATAAATTAAAGGATAAAATTTGTACGAAATGGTACAGGTCCGTACTAGGTTGTTATACACCTGTACCAAAAGAATTCTTTACCATAATTAGGAATGTACTATATTGGGGTTTTCTCCTCCTATATAAAGGGGACCCCAATCATTTGTTAGATACACATTATTCACTGCAATAGAATATTCTACTTTACTTTTCTTGTTTATCGTGCTCAGCAAGTGTTCTTCAGCTTTATTGATTTTAGTTTATTGTTCATATTTCGTTGCTCTTAGCTCACCTCGAGGCCCCCAAGAAAATTGAGCTTGGGGTCCTTATTGCTCTAGCAACACTAGTTTGGTTCATCAATTCTTCTTACTTAAACCTAATATTACTTGTATATTCACTAGTATTAGAATAAATTACATATCTTTAAAATCACAAATCATATTTAATTGTTACCCCCGTTTTTCGAGGTAAACAGTTTGACGCCCACCGTGGGGCTAAAGATAATAGTGATTATTTTAGTGCTAATTTACTGATAACACAACATTATTCTTCACACTTTTTCTTGTCAAAGATTCTTTGATTTCAGGCTTAAACATGTCTAGCACATAGAATGCACCTATTCACGAGGGCGAAGGTCTTGGAGAAAACAATGCTATAGGGGTCGGTGTACAACCCATAAAGGAGTGCCAAATATGGAGCCAGTTGATATCACTTCATACAACGCTCTAAACATATACACATGCATAGACCCCGTAAGGAATGCACACAGGGAAGCCCGACCCGACGACCAAAGAACACGAGGAATGGAAGAGGGAGGAGTCAGCCTCCAGGTGAAAGTGGCTCGGGGACTGACCCCACAATTATGAAAATGCTCAAAGAGCTCGCCAAAAGGATTGAGACCGGAGAAAAGAAGATTGAAGAAAATGATCAAAAGGTGGAGACATACAACTTGAGGGTCAACCAGATACCGGGAGCACCTTCGATTTTAAAAGGACTAGATTCGAAGAAGTTCGTGCAAAAATTATTCCCCAGAGTGCGGCTCCGAAGCCCATCCCTAAGAAGTTTCAAATGCCAGATATCCCGAAATACAACGGAACCACTGATCCCAATGAGCACATCACCACATATACTTGTGGCATAAAAGGAAATGATTTGGAAGACGATGAGATCGAGTCTGTTTTGCTAAAAACATTTGGGGAAACTCTGTCTAAAGGTGCCATGATCTGGTACCATAACCAGCCCCCGAACTCTATTGATTCATTGCCATGCTGGCAGACTCATTTGTAAAGGTACATGCTGGTGCCATAAAAGTTACAACAAGGAAGTCCGATGTGTTCAAAATAAAGCAAAGGGAGAACGAGATGCTGAGGGAGTTTGTATCACCGTTTCCAATCAGAACGAATGGAGTTACCACCAGTCTCCAATGACTGGGCCATACAAGCCTTCACTCAGGGGATAAATGAATGAAGTTCGATAGCTTCGAAGCAGCTGAAGAAGAAGTTGGTCGAGTATCCCGCTGTAACTTGGACGGGTGTGCATAACAGGTACAAATGTATCGTACCAAAATCAAAAGCAGCTCCGGATAAAATGGAGAGCACCAACTCTCGCTGATCAGGGATCCTAAGAAGGGGGACCGTCAGCTTGCCTACCTACACCTGCGGGCATGAAACGTAGGCCCTGTGAAATAGGGCATCAGTACGAAAATTGTACTGAGTATGTAAGGCATGAAAATTAGTACGTAAAAGACATAGATGAAACATGGAATATAGAAACACATCTTTAAATCTGAATAACTTTGTAAATTCTGAAACGTTTATAATGTCATGCACGTGCATATAAAGGTCGTGCCATGCATAGGTATGGGTGTACATAATATCATCAAGCCACTGAGGGCATCCCATCATATCATCTCGGCCACTGTGGGCAACATCATCAATATATACCAGCTGATCAAGTGGTGGTGCGTATATAACACCGTAACCTTTTCCCTTATCCCATATATATATATTTACATATATACGCGTATATAACGTTATTTGGTCATGGGTCAATGCACATATATAAATAAATGAGTGAAATGCATGAAAAATACGTAATAATCTCAATATTCCTTCCGGATAAACTTTTTCAACTGTGTATTATTCTGAGATCCATGAACAAAAGATAATAATATTTTTCATGAGGAATCAAGAACATAGATACCCCTACTATTTTTATGAATAGAATAATTTATAAAAATTGTGTGTTTGCTCATTTCTTCAGTATCATATGGACCATGCCAAAAGAAAAAGGGGAGGGCCTTAACATACCTGTTTCTTGAATTATTTGAACGAATCTGCTTCTGCGAAATTTACACTTGAATTCCTTGAAATTGGAACGAAACTGTGGTTGCTTCTTTTGAAATTTCAATTGAAATTTTTGGCTAAGGCTTAGAATTGTTTGGACGAAATGGTTCTGGTTCAATCCTCTTGGTTTTAAGCCAAAGAAACATGAGCACAAAGACACTAAATGAAGCTAAAATCAGATTGTCTATTTGAATAAGATTTTTTACAAGTCTTATTAAGACTTCAATTTAAGTCATAATTATGTTATATTCATAGGTAGACACCTAGGATGTTTAATAGCTTAGTCACTTTATGTTAGTGCTGCCACATGTCTTATAATTAATGAAGTTTTATCCACTTATTAGTTAACGGGGTAATGTTCTATTACCCGGTAATTAATTAGTAACCCGCATAATTTAAAAATTACCATAAATTACTTAAAATTCTATTTATTTTTAAAATACTTTATATATACTCTATACATTATACTACCGTGGTTATATGGTACCTTGAATGGTACTAGTTCATAATTATCGGGTATTATCGCTCGACACGTATTTTATTCCAAATTGGCCACTTTCAACGAAACTCATTTTCTTTAATCCGTGTACCCATTTATCCTTCATAACACTTATCTATCGCTTGTTATAAATAGCGTAAGTACGTTTATGTCAAGATGATCTCATCCCCGAATCTACGTCAGGTAACTGAAAATAAAATTTTAACGTACGAAAACGCGAGATGTAACAGAAGAACTCAAGCAGGCCATATTGATCGAGCATCTTCCAGATGAAAGGTATACCTAAGGATGGGGTTAACCCCCGAACTCAGGAAAAAACTCATTCGATTTCTTATCGATAATATTGACTGCTTTGTCTGGTCCCACTTAGATATGACAGGGATCCATCGGAGATAACTACCTATCAACTAAGTGTCGATCCCATATTTAAACCGGTGAAGCAAAAAAAAAGGGACCTCAGTCCGAGGCAAAGCATGATGTTTACCGTGAAAATGGTAATAACAATTAAATTTGATTATAGGACTCTGAAAATACGTGATCTATTTTTATGCTAGTTGTTAGGCAGTTGATTCCATGTGTGAGGTTTAAAAACGAGATAAGAGTAAGGAGTAGGTGATAACCAAACCGATAGTTTAGCAATCGAGGCCTCGAGCTTGCCGATTCGAGGGCCTCGAGGTCGATTCCGGAGCTCGGCTGTGAGCTATCGAAGGTGATCAAAGTATGGCTAACAGTTATAGTAAAATCAACAAATTCTCGTTATGGCCAATGATAAGCAATAAATGAAGAAAAATAATGAGGATAACAAATGGAAGCAATGATATCAAAAGAATGTGTTAGAGAGCAAAGAGAGTGTTCTTGTATATTTCGTGTAAAGCAACTGAAGTAACAGGGGTTTACAAAATGACAAGGATCCACTTTATATAGGAGGGGATCCCAACATAGTACAAAATACATTAATAACAAAAAAGCAGAGATGGGACAGCTAGATGACACCATGATTCAAGGTTAGGGCAGTCCACTAGGCTCTGTTAGTCCTAGCCGTGTACTTTGGGAACTCCACATTTCTATCATAGCCGTGGTCAATGTTGTCCCAAGGCCGGGCGTCAACGAACCTTAAGGTAGGAAACTCAACCATAGCCTTGGAGTCTCGACGCTTCGAGATGAGCTTCTGTGGTGCCTTGATGACGAGGAATTGGACCCTCCGATTTCACCGTATACAGATAGTCCCCGCATTTCTTAAAGAGGAGCGATAAGAAACCATTTTGACATCCGACTCTTCGGACTTCCCGTGATGATGTCATACTGATGACACAAGCCTCTATGATAACCAAAACCTCCCGTCGTTTCACTTCTCCAGGATCATTCAAAGCATTAGGTTTCTCATTCTTCAAAGCTATAATATCGCTGCCGGTTCAACTCCCAAGGACGCATTAAATGTGCTTGTTGTTACGTCTTTCGAGGGAAATAATGGTGCCGTCGGTTACGCTGCCTCCCTTTCTATAAATGGGAGCCTCCTGG